TAAATTATTGTTATATATTAGTAATTTTTTACTTTTTTCTATTGACTTCTACAAATTATCATATTAATTTTGGAAATATTGGTAATCTAAATTTCTTAAATTTCTATTTATGCCATTTTATTGAAAGTAAACTTAATCAATTTTTGAAAATTTTTGCTAACATGAAAAATGTCTACAAATATTGTATGGAATCACAACAAAATCAATAGAAACGTATGCAAATCATATCATATGGTATGTAATCACATTAAAATCATTTATAAACACATGGAAGACAAATGCTATGTAGAGAAAGAGAGAGAGTAATTTTCTGAAAATAATTAAATATATTTTTTATTTTTAATTTTCAGGAAATTTATTATTACAGTTAATTAAATATCGAAAAAATTAATTTTCTAAATATTTACTAATAATTTAAGTATTGCAATAAAATATCACAAGTAAATAATTTTCTGAAAATAATTAAATAAACATATGATAATTAAGTATTGCAATAAAATATCACAATTAAACAATTTTCTGAAAATAATTAAATTAATAATAAATATTTGAATATCTGAAAATATTTATTTATTTAAGTATTTCAATAAAATATCACAATTAAAAATTTTCTGAAAATAATTAAACAAATAATAAATATCTGAAATTAAGTATTGCAATAAAATGTCACAATTAAACAATTTTCTGAAATTTAATATCGTATTTTAATGATTTAATATTGTTAAAATTAATTAAATACCGTGATTGATTTACTTAATTAATAAATATTGATATTAAATAAATACTGTAATTAATAAAAAAATATCACAATTAAATAACACTAATTTAATAAATAAAAAATAATGTTAATTAATAAATTACTGTAATTAAATAAATATTTCTATTTAAATAAATACCATAATTAAATTAATTATATACCATGTTTAAAATAACGTTAATGAATACTGTTAATAAATTAAACAAATACCATTAGTTGAAATAAATACTTATTTCATTATGTTAATTGCTTAAATAATTTAAAAATAGTTATGTTAAATATTTATAACATAACATGGATTCAAAAATTAAAAACTATATATTTCTTGTTATTTAAAAATAGTTATGTTAAATAACTCAAAATCTATTAAGTTGTTTAATGAATTTTAAATGACAAAAATTTAATTCATTCAATTCAAAAAACGTGGATTAAAAAAATTAAGAAAAAATAAAAAGCTAAATAATTTTTGAATATTTAGTTACGTTTTTTTACAAAAGTATAACAAAATGTTAAAATATTTAATTCATTATTTAAATACTGAAATAATTTAAGTATTTAATTTTTGTTATTTAATCCATTAACTAAATATTTAAAATTCATTATTCAAATAATGTGGATTAAATTAAATAATGTATGTTATAATTTTTGTTATTTAACACTAACTCGTGTTTAACACGACAAATATTCCAACCTTGTATAACAGGGCAAATATTCCAACTATGGTGTAGTTAATATGAGTTGGTTTTGACCCATTAATTGATTATCGAAAACAGGTCGACACTGAACTGTTTATCTTCATCTTCTTTGCCCAGTTAAGGCAAAATGAATTTTTTAACAGCATCAAGTTATTGTGTTTGTGTTTTTTTTACTATTTTTCTTACTAATAACATCTATTTTGCAGTATACATTAAATCAAAACATGTAGGAGAAAAAAATTGTACAGAGAAGTACAGATTTGCCCAATGTAGATTTCTGATTTTCATTACAGAGTTATAAACATTCAAAAGGTCAACAACCCACATTCTATACACCAACGCCCGCCCGTGAATTGGCATCAATTTCAAGCTGGCACCTACCCCGACAGTATTTTTGAACATACAAATTCTGACCTTGGGCTGATCAGTCATTCTCCCAAAATTATACCTAGATTCAAGAGTAAAGCGCACTGGTCACAATTGGTCTACTTTCACCTTGTCTATTGTCGAAAACAATGTCTTTCAGCCCTTGTTTTTAGTTAAAAAACAACAAAACTTATACTGGATTCAAAATAGAGAATGAAGATAGGAGTTGGTGAAGTGATTTGCCGATTTGGTGTTCTTCTCCCCCCTTTTTTCTCAATATAAAGTATGACGCGAATAGAAACAAAACAAATAAAAAAAAAGAGATGTAGGTGGGTTGATCATGAGAAGAGAACTTACTCTGCCAAGTACCAAGTGAGAATGTTCTTTGAAAGAATGCAATTGGAAAATAAAAAAGAGAACAAACGATTCAAAAAATGGGAGTTAACAAAGCTTCAACTATAAAATGGTGGGTTGACTCCAAAGTGGATGAGATGTGTGTATCATGTCTCTTTATCAATATATGTATATGGAAGCAAAAAAATAGGAGATAAAAATTAAAGACATTCCACACTTGATGGGCAAGAGTGCGAAATAGATGGGATGTTATGAAAACTATAAGGTAGGTTTAAGTAAATATGTAAAACTATAAGGTGTGTTTTAGTAAATGCCCTTAATAGAAACACATAAGAGTATACAATTATTTTATATTTTCAATTTTTTAAATAATCAATACTTATTCATATTTTATATACTACTTTTAATAATTTTTTTATAATACAAAAATAACAATAATTAATTCCAGTTAGGTTTATTCATCAAACTTATGAAACCAACCGACCCGATAAATAATTTTAGCTAAATTAATAATCTTATCTCCAATAAATAACAATAGTTTAATCTCTAATAATTATTGAAAATTTATAGCGAAAATAAACAATTGTTGAAAATATATTGATAATGAAAAAATACAATAAGTACAAAAAATATATTAACTTAGTCAATAAATAGTATAATCTCAAATAATAGTCTAATATCTAATAAATATTAATTAATCAATAAGTTATAATAGAAATACAATAAAAACAATAAGTACAATAAATTAAATTTAAAAAATTCAATAATAGTAGTTTAATCTCCAATAACTATTGAAAGTTTTCTGTTAAATAACAAAACAAAATAAATTTATGCATAATCATTGAAAATACATCTATCACAAAAAATAATAAATAATTACTAAAATACAACAAATATTAATTTTAGTATATATAATTATATAATAAATATAGATTAAGAGTTTAAAATTATTATTAATAAATATTATTTTTTTGAAATTTATTTTCTCGAATTATTACTTGATATAAGTGAAATTAGTTTATGTAAAAATATTAAATTATTATTATTTTCAATATTATGTTAGAATTATTTTTCTACTTTTCAGATTTTTTTAACTTTATTACATAATTTCTTTATTTTAACTATTCAAAAACTAGTTATGTTAAATATTTTGTTATTTAAATACTTAAATAATATGTAAAATATTTAAAATATTAATTATCTATTGAATTTAATTGTCCACAAATCATAATTTATACTATTATTACGTAATTTCATTATTAATTTTGTAATATATATTAAATTCTTATTAATTTTAATATTATGTTATAATTATTTTTCTACTCTAAAGAATCTTTTTAAATTTATTACATAATTCTGTTATTTTAACTATTTAAAATGTAGTTGTGATAAATATTTAAATAATCTATAAAATATTTAAATTTTTTGTTATTTAAATTTTATTTATTTAAAGCTATTACATAATATTTGAAAAACATTTAAATTGATAATTTGGAAAAACATAATTTAAATTGTTAGTACATAATTTCGTGATATATTTTATAAAAATATAAAATTATTTTTTGTGTTTTTAGTAAATATTTTAAAAGTTATTATATAATTTTGTTTGAATATTTAAATAATTTTTAAAATTTTTAATCCAAACCTTCTTTAGGTATATATAGATAAAAAGAAGGGGAGAGGATAAATAGGAATTAGAGATAATTTATGAGAGAAACACTCTACTAAATTAGAGATAATTTTGTAGATAAATAGGAATTAGAGATAATTTATAAGATAAATAGAATTAGAGATGATTTTGGAGAAAGTGGGGGAGGTAGTTTAGGAGAAATTTTAGGAGAAGAGATTATTTAGGTTATAGGAAAGTGCATTTCATTGGTTGTTTAAAAAATGATATGGAATAAAAAAATAAAAAATTCAAAAAAAGGAGAAAATTTCTTCACTGCTACAGGTGTAAATCGGGTCGTGTTGCTTGTGGCCCGGCTCGGCATGGCACGACACAATAACCCACGGGCCGTACCAAGCCCGACACGATGGTCTGTGTCATGTTGGGCTTAGGGTTCAAAGTCGACAGGCCGACACGGCATGGCACCACAAAGCGGGCGGGCCCGACCTGACCCAGCACGACCCATATATACTATTTATATATTTATATATATATACACATAATATTTATATATTTTTATGTATTTACATATATAATATACAATATATTATATAAATTATAATTATATAATAATATATAGTATATAATATATTAATAACATAAACAATTGTTTTCAATTTTATTATACTAATTTATTTAATTATTGTATATATAAGCAATTGTATACATCAAAATTCATATAAAATTAAAATTTTAATTTTTTTTTCAAATTTTTAAATAAATAGGCAAAAATAACTTTGACTCGATCTATGGTCCGACTTGGGCCAAGGCTTGGTCTATGGGCCAGCCTGGCTTGGATACAGTACAACATGACACAGGTCTGGGCCATGTCGGGCCGACCCCCAAATTTTTCACGAGAGAGGGCGACATAGCACAACCCTTGTTGAATCAAATATCCAACAAGACATTTAAATTCGAATTCAAATCATATTCTTGAAAACTCAATGGATTCTTATCATATTCAAATTGATCGGATCCAATATACCCTTTACCGGATCCGACCCATTGGTTTAACCTTAGAAAATGTAAGGAAAGAATAAAAGAATCTGGAATCTGGTTCAACCCGAGAATCGATTGGAACAAGGCCGGTTCGTGGTTGGTTGCAATCGGTTTCGGATAAAACCGACCCATTTGCTCTCCATATTGACTCGTCACCGACTCATTACCGACTTTAGTAAAGCAGTTTCCTGAATCGATGATCGCTGATGGCCGTCACAGCTCTTCTATCCGGACATTTTTTGCTACATATGAATCTATAGAGTGCTTAGAGCTTGATTCATGGCTGCATCTTCTTCACTAAGATCATGGAGAACTGCCTTTCTCACCTTGAGGGACGAAACCCTAACTTTTCCACCTCGCACCTCACTCCTTTCACTCCTTCATCACTTCATCTTTTCCCACTCCGATTCTTTGGTTGTCGCTGCACCCGAACTGCCCCTTCACGAGGTAAACAATGTTCCATGCCATCTTCTGCAATCTGCATGCCAATTACGCCTAAGTGTTTGGTTTTGGGATCTAATGGTGACATACGTGGTGAGTGGCTCAGGTTACTTCAGATGTTATGTTTCTGGTGGAATTGGTGGCAACCACTTCGGAAAGTGAAGACGTGGACACTCTATTTCTTCAGACATTACACTTGGTAATTGTTTCTGTTATTGCAAGGTTTATACTGTACCTGTAGAGTGTCTAACTCTAAAATATTTCCACTTCAACTGTTTGGGGTCGGTTAGAACTCCTGCTTAGTGAAATCGAGTTATTTTTTAATTGGATATCGAGCTTTTGTGCTAACAGCTTCTGCGTATATTTCAGTTGTCACAAGTTTCAGACTGTAGTATATGCATTTGTGGGTAGTTACGTATTCTTAATGGGACCTTAAGATCTTAGTGATTCTGCACATTTGCATATTTTTTCCTTCTTACAAGTCACAATGTAGCATATGTCATTATATCGCTACTGTAATCTTAGTATAGCTTTACTCCGATCCCAATTATGTGATGTCAACCACACAAATTGTTTAACTAGTGATGTTAAACAAATCTATATCAGAGTCCTTGATAACTTTTTTTGTCATTATATTAATGTAACCTCATTTACCTATAAAACAAAATCGGTTAGAAACTTCCTTTCTTGCACGAGAGTTCCCATGCAACTCCAGCCTCTTTGTAAAATATGTAATTCTCATTCTTGTTTGGTGCAGATTCATGAAGTTAGCCGCCACGTCTCTCTGGAAATGAATTCATCTTCTTGGGCTCTTACATTGGGGTTTCTCCGAAATGTGGTGCATTTTTTCTTTAACAAAGTTGATGCTGAGAAAGCTTTCTTAGAGAACTCAAGTGGAACAAAAGTCACCATGCAGGTTTTAGAGATCCTAAGGTTAGCTGTTTTACATAAATTTGATTAAAAAACTTGTAGCATAAAAAATTTCTTGAACATCCTTCTCTTTGTTAGCTTGTTATTAAATTTTAAATGATACATGTGGCCTTTGTTCCTTCACATGTGGAATGCGAAAATTATATTTTTTTTGGTTGTCTAAAGCTGTTAGAATGCAACCAATTCTTGTTATCTTTCTAAAATGTAGAAGAAAATCTTGACAATAAAAAAGGGAAAATGTCTCATTTCTTTCATGTTGGAGGATATTCTAAAAGTATTGACTTAATTGTCTTCAGATATTTTGCTAATGCATATGGTAGAAAGTGTTCACCATTGGAAACCACACAGCTAGTCAGGCTCCTTCTCCATGTTGTTGTAAGCTGTCACACTGTGTTATTGTCATTAGCTCATTCATTTGGAAATCAGCCTCAAACTACAGATAATAGAATAGTTCTTAAGTCCAACAATTTATGGGAGGTTGAGATCACTGCATTTGTTATGATTGCTGATGCATTCTTAAGACTCGGATCTTCTGTTCAAGTTGATATGTGGCAATCAGCACTTGAGGTGAGCCTATCCTTCTGCCAGTTTGATGGTATCTTATTGAATGAAAGGCTTAGATTTCCTGATGTGATCTAGGTTTTGAGGAAAGTGATGGATGTACTCCCATTTAAGAGCATACAGATGGAAAGCAATGTCATGTCCAGGTAACTTTCTATAATTTACCGTCTTTAATGTGCATCTCATCCACTAGGTTTCTATCATGAGCATTGTTTGGCAGGTTCTTCACCTCTCTTTTGCGTTGTCTGCATTTGGTTCTTTCAGATCCTAAAGGTTCCCTTTCTGAGCATGTAAGTTCAAGAGCTCCATTTTCAGGACTTGGGATAAAATTTGGTTAACTTCTCCCATACATTGTTTTTTACTTATTTATGTTTGTTTATTTTGTAGGTGGCAAGTTTTGTAGCAGCTCTGCGTATATTCTTCATCTATGGCCTTACTAATAGGCCAGCATTAATTTGCCCAGGTTCTAGGTGTAAGAAGGAAATCACTTCTACAAACCACTTGTCAGAGACAAAGAAAATTGGATGTAGTCGATATAGGCCCCCTCATCTACGCAAAAAAGAGGGCATAAACTTACAGTCACATAAAGATTGGGATTCTCCAAGTTTATCAGATAATGAGTTTTCTATGGCTGGTTTTACATCGTCAGATTCAGAACACAGTGATAATGATGGGCAATTGAAAGATGTAGACTACTTTCGCAGCTCTAAGGCTAGAGTAGCTGCTATTATTTGTATACAGGTGTCTTGCTTTTCTATGTCATGGTTTGATTAGAAAGAGGTCTTTATTGAGTTCTATGGATGTGAATATTTCTTTGCATCAGCATGAAAGTAACTTCTCTCAACTAGATGTTGAATTAGTTATTGTCCTTTCAAAGTTCTATTTGAACTCATTTAGGTCAGATGGAAATGGAGATATGGAGTTGAGAACTATGTTACCCAGAAGAAGGATGGTTAACAAAGGGATATTTTGAATTTTATTTTTATGAATTTTCAATAAACTAGGACAATTTTTGTAATTGAGAGTTGACCATTGGTTGACAAATGGCATTCTTTTTTTCAAATATATTGTGGGTTCTTGTCATAAGAGTTATTGGTTTAGTCAATGTTAGTTTAAATTTCCATTTATCAAAAAAAATGTTAGTTTAATTTTTTTTCGAAACAGGTAAAGTAAGAATTCATTATGACAAAACATGTACAACAAGGAGCTGTACACAGGGATTTACAAAAACTGCACCAGCAGAGCTAGACCCCCAAACCCTGATTTACAAAAAGATTCCCAACCGCAAAAAAAGGAATTAAAATTTCTGTCCTTGAAAACATTGTTTACTGCTAACCAGGAAAACATTTTTCCCATAACTTTCTGAAATACTGTATCCGAGGAGCTGTGTTGGTTCTTGAAAATCCTCGCGTTCCTCTCCTGCCATAGTTATTCGATCAGTAAGTTGATATTTTTTTGTTTTTTTTTTTTAAATTTTACCTTTTTATGCAGTGTTAGTTTCTTATTAGAAGATGCTAGAAGAACTTTACACTCCACAAAGTTTGGAGAGCAGGGAATTAGTAGAAACAGTGATAGACTGGCAGTACAGAGTATCATAGGAAATTTGCAGCAGTAGTGCACTACACATTGCCCTGGACCTGGCATTCCTCATAACAACTCTACCCTGTTAACCCTGTCTCACTATTTGTGGCTCTTGATACCCAAATGTTTAGCCTCTCTAATTAGACGTGTTAAAGATCAGGGTCCTACCCTATTTGAGAACAACTTAACACCACTTGATGTCATTTTCTACTATTAGGTCGTGCCAACCCATAGAGTGTGCTAGCTTTAAGCTTTGGAACAGTACAAGGAGCTCAGCCCTGAGAGATATACCTTCACCTGCAGGACCTGAAAGACTCAATAGCCTGTGTTAGGATCTATAAATATATGCAATTTCTAAAATGGCTGACTAGAGAAATACTGAGTCTTGAGCATATTTCTTGTTTTTTTATAGGAATTGAGCATATTTCTTGTTCTTTAATAGGAATTGAGCATATTTCTTGTTTCAACTTTATTTTTGAGTGATTCCCTATATCCTAGATAGACCTGTTCATGGGCCGGGCTCGGGCCGGGCTTTCACTTGTCACTAATGAAAATATACTAGGCCCGAGCCCGAGCCCGGCCCAACCAACGGGCCTATAACTTGGGCCCGAGCCTGGCCCTGATAAAAAGCCCGAAGCCCGAGCCCGAGCCCGAAGCCTGACCTAATTAAAAAAAAAACAATTTTTCCTATTCAAATTAGAATTAAAAATTCAGATAGTATTTTTTTTTTCTATTTAAATGAACAATGGGCCTACAAAGATGGTATTTTTTCCCTTTCTTTTATATTTTAAAACACAATTTTACATTATTAAATCAAAAAAATTTATTCAAATGGACATAATCACATAACTTATTTTAAGTTTAATATTAGGTCGGGCCGGGCCAGGCTATTTTGGCAAAGCCCGAGCCCGACTCGAATTTTATGCGGGCCAGGCTTTTTGGTTCGAGGTTAAGCCTGCGGGCCAAAAAGCCTGTTCAAGCCTGTACGGGAGCCGGGCCGGCCCGTCTGGCCACCCGGCCCATGAACAGGTCTAATCCTAGAGTTAGTTATTTTAATAGATAACAGTTTAAGCCATGAAAAAAAATGATGGGAATATCTTGTGTACCTAGCACTCTATTAGAAAAGTTGCTGTCTAGCCCTTCTGTATTAATTTAACTTTATTTTAAGCTTGAATGGTTGAATATTTGGTGGAAGCTTCTAGGGTTAAAACTTGATTCAAGGGGTAGGAACCATTAGAAGCATTGTGGGTTCTCTATATCATTTCCTAATGCAGCCTTGGTGCATGCACTCAAAAATGCAATTTTACTTGGTCTAACATGCAAAAGGATACAGTATTGCACTGCTAATGAAGACATCCTAAGAGGTGGAAAAAGGGTGGTCAATGAGAAAAAAATAAGGCATAGGAAAAGGGATGGCATGTTCATGAATTGTGGCGATATTTCCTAGATATATTGGTGGAACAAGGGTGGTCAATGAGAAAAAGGGAGGGGCACAAAGGTTGGAACAAACCCAACTTCAGCTGACAGAGAGAGACAGGATTTGGTGGAACGAAGAGAAGTCCGGCCTCTTTACAGTGAGTTCTATGTTGCAGTTTCTGCTAAACTCAGATGGGACCTTGCCCTCTTGGGTCTGTTTGTGGAAGCTCAGGATTCCTCTAAAGGTTAAACTTTTTATTTGGGCTGCTACAAAGGGTAAATTCCCTACTATTGATGTGTTAAGGAAAAAAGGAATGGTTCTAAACCTAGTTAATCATCGTTGTTTGTGTGGGGAGGGCGAAGAGTCTGCTCAGCATCTCCTTCTTCTTTGTAGTTTCTCTCATAAGGTGTGGTTCCATGTTTTAAACCTTTTTGGCACGAAGTGGGTGACACCTCCAGATCTTGTGTCCCTTCTGTCCTCTTGATGGGGCAGGCATTTTCCAAAATGGGTAAGGTCCTGTGGAATGTCTCTCCATTGGTAGTTTGCTGGTGCAATTCTGATCAAACGGGTATCTATTGGTGATTTCTTTAGGGGATTTCAGTTTAAGCATTTTGTGGATCATTGGGATGCTATTTGTGGGAAAATGATTTCATTGTGTGATTTTTTTTTGATAAAATTTTCATTGTATAATGTTTAGCCTGTTGGGATCCTTTCCCTTGTAGCTGGTTGTTGAGGAAATCTCTCCTCAGCAGTCTTATTTTATCTTTTTAATGAAATATTCACCACTTCTCAAAAAATATATTTCCTAGACATATTGTGGGATGGCAACTTTCATTGGGTCCCTCCAAACACCATCTGTGATTTCATCCACCAGTGGAAAAGAAGTAAAATGGGAATAAGGGGAAGGATCTTCTGGAAGGCAATAATTCATGCAGTGCTGTGGGGCATTTGGGAAGAACACAATGGAAGAATTTTTGAAAATAAAGCACCCTCCTTGTTAGACCTTAGAAGGCATATCCTTTCTTTGGTTAAATTGTGGATGCTGACAGATAAGAGTTTCTATAGAATCAGAGTTATTTAATCTTGATAGAAATCTGAAATCCTAAAGCCATTGCCTTTGGCTCTTCAACTCACTCTCTCCTTAGCCTCAAGACCTTCTACTGCTTTCAGCTTTCATCTTGCAGTTTGAGAAATTCTGGTTTGGTAAAGATGGGAATGGGTGGTGGGTGGGGGGGCTATCTTGAGAGCTGATAACACTCTGATTTGGGCTTTTATTGGTCCTTTCACTGCAAGGGATGCATCTGGAGCTGAAGTTCAAGCCCTTCTTGAGGGGCTCAGATTTTCCAAAGACCTTCTCTCTGGTTCATTGCTTGTGGAGGGGGACTCTATGATTGTGATTGGTTGGGCAATCAATTTTGGGACAGGTCCATGGAGGCTGGCTCATGAAATTCATGAATTTTATGTTTCCCTTGATTGCTGCTATAGGTGGATTCCGAGAGATTTGAATCAAATGGTTGATTTCTTAGATAAATTGAGTCTGGAGTTTTTTTTTGCATAGTGCTAACAGCTTAAATATGTCCTGATTGGGCTTTGGCTTTTTTTTTTTTTAAAATCAAGGCCCTCTTTTTCTTGTATATCTTTGTATTTCTCTCCTTTTTTTTTGAATATGATGGTTACCTTTTCTTAATAAAAAAGTAAGCTGGCCAAACCTGTTGGGAGTGTCCATTTGCCAGTAAAAGGAGAAAAACCACTCCCAAATACAAGAAACAAATAAATAAGAGATTAATAAATGGTGTGCAGTCTCTCTACTAGCATTGTGGAGAAGATACATATAAAGGAATAAGGACCAGCTTGGCCTTCTTTTTGAAGGTTGTCACAGGTATTGATTACAAAGGAGGAAGCTTGCCACTATACAGATGCTCCAAATACACGCCAAATTTAGCTAGGCCATCTGCAGTATGATTGTGTTCCCTAGGAATCCAAACTAAGTTAACATTCAAACCATCCAAAGAATCCCAAGCTTCAGTCAGATAGTGATTCAGTCTCCAAGGGCCCCCTTTTTTGTCTCTTAACCATTTTATTGTATTTGCTGAATCACCTGCAATGATCAAATTCTGAATTTCCAAATTCTTTATTATCCTGATTCCAGTGAGAGCAGCCATCACTTCAGCCTTTGCGGAGTCGGCCCAACCAATTGGACCACTAAAAGTCCAGCAGATATTGCCCCTTTTGTCCCTTACTGTACCACCAATACCTGCAAAGCCCAGATTGCCCAAGGCGCAACCGTCAAAATTAAGGGTTATCGCCCCATCACTGATGGAAACGGCCTCAAGGGAGTTTGCTGGGGATGGGGCAGAAGCAGAAAGGGGTGAATATCTCTGGTAATATCATTTACTGAAAGAAAAGGCCCTGCTGACCTAATGATCCCAATTATTGTGTCAAACTCACTTAACAGATTCAATTTGCATTTTCCATTTCATTTAGGGCTATTTCACAACCCTACTAGGTATGGTATCCATTTCTCAGTAGAGCTCACAATTAATTCTAAGGATTACATTCCCTCTGCTGTCCTCCATTTTGGTCTTAGTTGTTTCCATGCATCTCCAAATGTTCCTTTTTGTTTTCTTACTAAACTGGGCAACGAATTTCTATATTACTCATTCTCTGGTGTTCTCATTTAGTTTTTGTAGGTAAGGGCAATGAGTAGCATATTGTTCAATGTATTCTGTGAGGGCTTTTGTGATTGTAGATCTGGTTGTGGGTTTGTAGACTATGATTAATATTGTGCTTTTATCTAATAAACTTATAGTTTTATCCATTTCTTTAGGAAGATTTTAAATTTTGTGTCATCCTGATATCTTGAACAAACAAAATATTATCGATAGCCATTTAGATTGGACTGTGGCAGTGCAGTCCACTAGAAAAAAAATATTATTATATATTAGGCCTTTTTAATTTTTGGAAATTACGTGATAACTTCATAACTTAAACTCTTAATCCTTCTTAATTTTTGAATTGGAAGGATATCTGTCAAGCTGATCCCAAGTCACTTATTGCTCACTGGACGATGGTTTTACCTACAAATGATGTGCTGCAACCAAGGTTAAGCATTCTAATACCTTCTGTTTGTGTCATCCTTCTCTCTCTCTATCACCCTCTCAATTGTTGGACTATTTCTTCTTCTAATATTACATTTTGTGTTTCACAGGAAGCATGAAGCAACTCTAATGACATGCTTACTATTTGATCCTGTTTTAAAGGTATTATTTCTGTTCAGAATCTAGATGTTCTCTTCAATAATTTTTTTAGAAATACAAACATTTGATGCTTCTTACTATATTTTGGATTTTCTTATTTCATCATCATCATCATCATCATCCATGCCTTATTTTGGATTTTCTTATTTGATCCTTTTTTACTTTAAGTGTTGATCACCCCTTTGATCAGTAGTTAGAATACTGTTGGTATGATTTCTTTTATAATCTTTTTATCTTTTATTTTTAGCAGCACCTTGAAGCATTTCTAATCTTTTCTTAGTTTTTCTTTGATATTTATGACTTTGTTTTGGTTCTTGCGATTTGATCTTGTTTTAAAGGTATTGGTTCAGTCTGGGTATTTTTTTTGGTAATCAATAAAAAAGAAATTCTATTAATAGGAAAAGTACACCTGATAGTGATGAGGTATCACTGGAATACAGAACAGCAAAGGGAAACAACAAAAAGGGAAGAGACACTAAGAGAAAAGGAGAAAAAACATAGTCCATACAAAAAAAGAGAAAGAAAAAACGACCAACTTCAGAGTACACCAAAATCTTCCTTTGTAATTCCTTCGAACTTTGGGAGAATATGAATCCAGCCCATAATTCGCTTGCCACATAGAAGTGTTATATGTTCCCTTGAGCGAGCTTTCCCATAAAAAAATCTGCTATTCTTTCTTTCCAAAGTTCCCAGCAAATTGCGAAAGGAATGCAGCTTCAAGTGATCTTCGCCTTGTCATTTCTTGAAATCTTAGGCCATTTAGAGAAAATTTCCTCCACCAAATTGGGAGACCACCCACAGCTTTGGGTAGCTTGAAGAAAAAACCCTAAATGAACTTGGAGAAAAGGCACTCAACCATCAAATGAAAGACAAGAACCTCAGCATTCTCACGAAGATAGCATTTGCTAGCTATGTGAAAGCTTCTGCCTTGGAGATGATTTGAAGTCAAGATACTATCAAAAGCCACTAGCCATGCAAAAGTTTCTACCCTTGGGGGGATAGGGTTTCCCCAAATGCCTTTCATCCCTGAATCTTCTCCACTTGACCTTGATTGGGACTGATAGAAGGATTTGACTGAGAACATACCATTTCTAGATTCTTTCCACCATCTTGAGTCTTTTCTTTCCACTTGAGGCTTGGTTGATTGTAACTTTGCCAGAAGATCTGCACACTCTTGAATTTCCCAATCAAAGAGAGACCTCCTAAATTTTGGACACCGAACTGCTCTACCTTGATTAATCTTCTGTAATGGAGCTATTCTTCATACCCAACCTATACAGATGAGGACAATGATCACACAGCTTTCCAATACCCAACCAATCATCCTTCCAAAATTTAATTGTTGATCCATCACCAACTCTGGAGGAAACAAGATTAAGGAATACTGACTGGAAACACATAATCCCTTTCCACATTACACTATATTGAAAAGCAAGTGTTGATTACCTCATCATCATCATCATCATACTTTGTCCTAACTGTATAGGGTTCTTGTCCTAACTGTATAGGGTTGGCTACATGAATCGCATTTTGCCATTCCGTTCTGTTCAGTGCCATATCTATTGTTAAATTATGATTGCTTAAATCATTTCTTAATTCTTACTACTTCCACCCATGTCCTTTTCGGTCTGTCCTTATCTCTTCTAGCCCCTTCAACTTGTAAGAGATCACTTCTTATAACGGGTGCTGTAGATGGTCTTGTATGCACGTGACTAAACCATCTCAGTCTACTCTCTCTCATTTAATCACCTATTGAATCTACTCCTAGGTTCCTTTGTATGACCTTGTCCCTTCTTGGTTTTACCATTCATCCATCTAATCTCTCACATATATTTTTTGATCAGCAACACAGAAATGATTTCATTAATAATAAAAGAAATAATTACAACAAGAGGTTGTGTAAAAGAAAAAAAAACACAGCTTCAGAAAAGCTGACCCAACCCAAGAATTACAGTTCAGCTCAATACAAGGAAATTCTTTGTTACCCCTTGCTTAGCTAAACCATCTGCTAGACTGTTGGCAGTTATTCCTAAGATGACATGTCACCCCTCCCCCTTCTTTAGCTAGTTCACAACAGTTCTCAAATCACCCTCAATGATCAGTCGATCATTACCCAAATCTTTGGCCTTCTCAACTCCATATACTGCAGACAGTATCTCTGGTCTAACCACATCACCTTGTTCGGCTGGTCTTGACTATAAGGCTATGATGTTTCCCTCTTTGTCCCTAGTGACGACTCCTATTACCTGAGGGACCCGGATTGCCCATGCAACTCCCATGAGTCCCATCAAAGTTAAGTTTCTTCCAACCACAGTTTGGGGGTTACCACTCAACTATTTGCTGTCTTCTGGACGATGAGGCAACACTTACCCCAAGCATTCACATTTCTCCTACACTAATGTTTTGGACTTATTGTTTCTTAACTGCCCAACACTTTGCTCCATACAACATAGCTGGCATTACAGCTGTTCTATAGAATTTGCCTTTTAGCCTAAGTGGTATTCATGTATCACATAAGACTCGAGATGCACCCTTCCATTTTGCTCATCCTGCTCTAGTTCTATGAATGACCTCCTCCCCAATCTCTCCTTTTTTTTTTAATGAATAAGGTAATTTTATTAATTCATAGAATCAAGCTGATACAAGCCTCTCTTGGAGGGGCGTGAGTTGTGATCCCTCCTACCAAAGTACAAAGGAAAAGAAATAAAAACAACTAAGTTACACCTGAGCCAGAATAAAGATTCCCTATTTGCCCCTTGCTTAGCTAGATAATCAGCTAGTGCATTTGCTGATTTCCCCACCCATTATATTCTTACATATATACTGTGTTATTTTTTTGATCAATAACTTTGAAACTTTTATTGATTAAAATACTTTAGGATACAACAAGTGAATAACACATAATAAAAACAAATATATTATGTGTTATTCACTTGAACTTTTTTGAGTTCATTCTTGTAGGACCACACTGCAGTACTTAGATCCTTCAACCAACCCACTACCACCTTGGAATCCCCTTCAATTACCAACCTTTCCACACCTAACACAGATGCAAACTGCACTCATTGAATGGCCGCTAATAATTCTGCCCTGGTATAATCTCCAACTTCCAAGGGACTGGGGTAGTAGAGTGAAACCGCTCTGAGCTCATTCCTTGTAACTCCTCCCATACTCGAGGGACCTAGGTTGTGTTGATTGCTCCCATAGAGATTCAGCTTCAAGAAACCTTTTGTAGGAAGTGCCCAACTAGTTGCCACCCTAATCTTTGTGGAAGAACACCTTGTTACTGCTGACTAATTTTTCCAAATATCATTAAAGGAGAATTGGTTAAATAAATCCATCGTCTTCAGCCAATGTATTACCCTATTCAGAATACACTCCTTTAAGTCTTGGCAGCTTCTCTCCTTTTCTTGGAATGTCTTCACATTCCTTTCTTCCCAAATTGTCCAAATTAGTGCTGCTCTAGCACATCTCCACATAACCTTTCCTCTTTTGTTAGGCTAGACAAAGGTAGAAGTATTAAAGAGCATGCTTACATCTGCTGGCATGTTCCATCTGTACCCAAACAATGACAAAAGCCAATCCCACAACTCTTGAATAAAGGAGTAAGAGATTAGCAGGTGGTAACTATCCTCACCATGAGAGCTGCAGAGAATACACTGGTTAGGTGAGTAACATAGGTAGGGTCTTCTCTTTTGTAGGTTATCCAAGGTGCTTATTTTCCCATAAGACACTTCCCAACATAAAGCCATAATCTTTGGGGGAACAAGCCTGCACCAAACCTCCTTAGAAGGGAAAACCTGCTGAATGATAGAGGGACTTAAAGAAAGAGGCACAAGAGAAGGTTCCGTTGGGCTGTGTAGACCAAACCTGTTTATTTGATTTAGAGGGGTCTAAGCAAACCTTATTGAGGAGGCAAAGCAAGTTAGACAAGCAATCGATTTCCTCATCCCTTAACCCCTTGCGGAACCCAAGATCCCAATTGGAGTCAGTAGTCGTACAAGACTACAGATATTCTTTAGATTTTGAACAGAAAATAAAAGAAAGGAAGAGAAGAGGAGAAGAGGAGAAGAGAGTTAGAGAGGGAGAACTCGTGGAAGAGCTTTTGAGAGAAGAGAGTGGTTGGTGTATTAAAAACAGCCGCCCCGCCCTTTGAATTTATATACATAGTTTCCTAATTGTGAAAGAACTTAATGCTTACATGGCAAGATAAGATAATTAAAAACTAATCCTAGATAAGATAGAATAAAATTAAAACTAATCCTACTAGGAAAGCTGATCCTAATCAATGACTTAATTAAATCTAAGTACAACTCAGGGTTGTCACACGAGTACACTAATGTGGGGTCCACAGTTTCCTACAAAGTCGAAGGATTTACAAAACGGACGAGAAACTTTGAAATTACATCTTTTTATACAAAGAGACAGAAAATAAGGATGGTAAAAGGTCCTTTAAGGGGGTATCTCTAATCCAGACATCCTCCCAGAATCAAACTAAGTTTCTAGAGCAAACATCATACCTGATAAACCTGAGGAACTGCAGAAGTATACTGTGAATTGCTTTCTGTGGTGTTGCCAAAGTTGCCCCTCTGAGATACACCAACATCCTATCCGTTTTCTAGATAACCATGAATACTTTATGTCCAATTTCCTTCGTTATTCTCCCTCGCCCATTTCAAAGGGAAGTGTGTGGCTGATTTTTTGGTCCCTTATGAGTCAAATTTTGGGTATGATTGGGATTTGGGTCTTAGAAGAGGCCTTAGGGAGTCAGAATTGGGAATGGTTGTGACTTAATTCAGATCTTGAATGGGGTGGTTTTGGACCCGTCAAAGAGGGACAGGAGAATGTGGACTTTATCTCCCTCTGGGGTTTTCTCTTGTGCTTCTTTCTTTAAATCTTTGGCACAACAGACCAACATTTCTATTTAGTCTTTCCTAGTTAAGGAAATATGGGGTGAGCCAATTCCTCTAAGGATTGGAGCTTTTTGTTGGGAGGCATTCTTG